GGAGGAGGATGAGGATGATGATGATATTGAGGATGATGACGATGACGATGACAGTGGTGATGATGATAATGATGATGATGCTCGTGGTGGTGATGATGATGCCGATGGTGGTGATGATGGCGATGATGATGCAGATGATGGTTACGATGATGATGCGGACAATGTTATAAATGATGATGTTGATGATGATGATGATGATGATGATCTTGATCATTATTACGATGATTATGGTGATGATAATGATGATCATGCTTATGCTGATGCTGCTGCTGTTGATGATGATGGTGATGGTGATGGTGATGCTGATGATGTTCATCACAGTGAGCGATATCATGACGATGATGATGATGCTGATGAGGATGAGGATGAGGATAATGATGATGGTGGTGATGACGATGATGAGAACGATGAGAATGATGATGATGATGATGATGATGATGATGATGATGATGATGATGATGATGATGATGATGATGGTGAAGATGATGACGATGATGATGATGATGATGATGATGATGATGATGATGGTATAATGGTGACGTTGATGACGAGAATGATAATGCTGATCGCGGGTATAACCTGGGTAGCGATGCGAGCAGCCGCGACGGTCTGTTGTGAGTTCACAGCGCAGGACAGGCTGTAAGTGCACAGCACTATACTGGACTTCGGATTTCCTCGGCACACTACAGAGGCGAATGAGGTGGAGAGGCGGGGGGGCAAGACGAGGCTCAGAAGGAGAGGGACCTAGAGCAGCCGATAGTCGTGACCAGAGACTGTGAAGGTCTCAAGAAGCCATTCTGAAGCGCGACTGCTCCCTTTAGGACATGGAAGGACACGCAACGGCCAACTACCCGGAACGGTGTCCAAAACCAAATCCGCCGACCCCAGAAGCGTGTGAGGCAGTGGTATTTGCCACATCCCACCCCATCTCGAATCCGTTTCTTGGGACTGCCCACGCGACAATTCCTAGCCCAGAACCCACAACCCTGACCGCCCCCCTGGCAATGGCAACCCATTTCCTCTAGAATCCTGCTCTTCGGATCACCCACGCGCCAATTCGTAGCCTGGAACCCACAATCCTGACTGCCCCCCTGGCCACAGCAACCCCCCCCTCTGGAATCCTGTTTTTGGGGTCCACCACCCGACAATTCCTCGCGCGTGCGCATCCACAACCTTTGGAACCCTGTTTGGGGGACTTTCCATCCGACTATTCCTCGCGCGGAACTCACCCTGACCCCCCGCCTGGCCATGGCATCCCCGCCCCTCTGTTATCCTGTCTTTGGAACCCCACCCGACAATTCCTGGGCCCTACCTGGCCATACTCCTGTTCTTTGGGCCTTCCACCTGGCAGTTCCCACCCTGCAGCCCACCCAGTCCGATCCCCGCACCTGCCTGACAACGCTATTCGTGGGCGCCCCCAGTTGACAAATCCTGAACCAAAACCAACCCTTCGGCCGACCTGGTCCTACCCCCGCACCCCCGTGGGTCTTCAGCTCCTTGGCTCGACACATTCTGGCCCAGAACCGGCCGTGCGGCCCACCAGGCCCGATCCACCGCACCCCTCACCGCGTCTGACATCCCCACCCCTCCTGACTCCTCCTGTGGCCTCCAATTTCGGGCCCCCCACCGTACAGTTCCTCGCCCAGAGCGGACCCACGCCCCCAAAACGCACCTCCCACCGCGTCCGACATCCCCACCCCTCCAGACTCGCCCTGGGACCTCTATGTTCGGGACCCCCCCCTTGCACTTCCTCGCCCAGAACCGACCCGCGCCCCCCACCGCACCCCCCACCGCTTATGACATCCCCACCCCATCCAGACCCTGCTGAGACCGTTAGCCTTTAGAACCCCCAATCCTGAAGTGGCCCGCCCAGAACCGACCCGCGCCCCCTCACCGCACCCCCCACCGCGTCTGACACTCCCACCTCTACGGACCCCTCCTGGGGCCGCTAGTTTTTGCACACACCCACCCTGCAACTTGTGCTCTCCCGCACACCCCACCGCGTCTGACATTCCCACCCCTCCAGGTTCTTCCTAGAACTTCTAATGGTGCGCCCCCCCACCCAACCGACCCGCGCCCCCACCGCACCCCTCACCGCGTCTGACATCCCCTCCCTTCCAGACTCCTCCGGGCGCCTCTAGCCCCCACCTTGCAATTTTTCGCCCAGAACGACCCACGCCCCATGCCGTATCCCCCACTGCGTCTGACACCCCCACCCACCTGGGACCCTAGTTTTGCGACCCTCCACCCAACAATTCCTCGCCTTGAACCGACCCGCGCCCCCCACCGCACCCCCCACCGCGTCTGACATCCCCACCCCTCCAAACTCCTCCTGCGACCTCTAATTTTGAAACCTTCCACCCTGCAATTCCTCAGCCGGAACCGACCCGCGCCCCCCACCGCGCGCCAATTCCTGGACTGGAACCATCGACCCTGACCGCCCCCCTGCCAGCGGCAACCCCCCTCTGGAATCTTGTTCTTGGGATCCTCCACCAAACAATTCCTAGCCCGGACCCCATCCTGACCGCCCGCGTGGCCACGGCACCCCCCCTCTGGAATCTTGTTCTTGGGATCCTCCACCAAACAATTCCTCGCCCAGAACCTATTCTGACTGCACGCCTGACCACGGCATCACAACCCATCTGGAATCCTGCTCTTGGGACCTGCCATCCGAAAATCCCGAACATAGAACCCAACCTGACTCCCCACCTGGCCACGACATCCCCACCCCTATGGATTCATAGTATTGGGACCCCCCACCCAACAATTCCTAGCCCAGAAGCCGTCCAAACTCCCAAGCCCTGCATGGCCACGGTAAACCCTTCTGGACTCATGTTCTTTCAGCCTTCCGCAACTCCCACCCTGCAGCCCACCTAATCCGATCCCCGCATCTGCCTGGCAACGCTATCCTGAAGCGCCCTCAACTGGCAAACCCTTAACTTGAACCCACCCTGCGGCCCACCTGGTCCCACCCCGGCACCCCCCTGGCAGCGCTGCTCTTGAGCTCCCTGGCTCGACGCATTCTTGAAACCCTACTTGACCATTCCTCGCCCACAAACCATCCGAACCCCCACCTGGCCACGGAAACCCCGTCCCTCTTGACTCCTGTTCTTCGAGCCTTCCACCTGGCAGCTCCGGGCCTGGACCATGGCGCTGCAGCCCACCTAGTCCGATCCCCGCACCCCCCTGGCAACGCTGATCTAGACGCCCCCATCTGACAAATCCTGGGACGCAGACGACCCCGCGGGCCACCTGGTCCGACCCCCGCTTCCTGGCAACCATAGTTTTAGCCCCCCGGCTCGAGAAAATCCGGCCCAGAACTGGCCTTGCGGTCCACCGGGTCCGACCCACCGCACCCCCCACCGCATCTGACATCCCCACCACTCAGAACCCAAAACTCCTCCTGGGACCTCTTCGTCTGGGACCCCCCACACTTTAAGAAAGAAAATAAGAAAAGAAAAAAAAAACAAAAAAAATAAAAATAGAATAATTAAAAAAAAAAAATAAAAAACAAAAAGAAAAAACAAAAAAAATAAAAAAAAAAAAAAAAAACAGCAATAAAAAAAAATCAAAAAAAAAATGAACTTTCAAAAAAAAAAAATAATAAAAAAAACAAAAAAAAAAAAAAAAAAAAACAAAAAAAAAAAAAAAAAAAAAAAGACTTTATTAAAAAAAAAAACTTAAAAAATAAAAAATACAAGAAAATGAATTAAAAAAATATATAAAAAGAAAAATAATAAAAATAAGGAACAAAAAAAAAAAAATAAACAAAAAATAACAAAAAAAAATTAACCCCTACACTTTAAAGAAACAAAAAATAAAACAAAAAAAAAAAATCAAAAATAAGAAAAAAAAAAAAAAAAAAATAAAAAAAGAAAAGAAAAAATAAAAGCTCCTCGCCCGGACCACCACGTGCGACATCCCCACCCATCCAGACTCCTCCTGGGACCTTTAACTATGGGCCCCCCCCTGCCATTCCTGGCCCAGAACCGACCCGCGCCCCCCGCCGCACCCCCCGCCACGTCTGCCTTTCCCACCCTTCCAGACTCCTGGGACTCTCCAGCCTGCAATTCCTCGCCCGGACCCCCCCACCGTGCCCCCCCAACAGCGCCTCACACTTCCGCCATTCCTTCAACCTCTACTTCTGGGACCCCCCACTTCCTCGCCGGGAACAGGCACACGCCCCCCACCACGCAATCCACCGCGTCGGACGCCCCCACCCATCCAGACTCCCCCTGGGACCAATAGATTTGAAAGACCCCCACCCTGCAATCCCTCGTCGGGAACCAACCCGCGCCCCCCACCGCCCCCCCTGGGACCTCTAGTTTCGGGGCCCCACTCCTGCCATTCCTCGCCTGGAACCGACCCACACCCCTCACGCGACAAGTGATAGCCGCATCCATAACCCTGGCCGCTCCCCTGGCCACGGCAACAAAATCCCTCTGGAATCCGATCCTCGGGATGATCAATTCCTACACCCCCATAAGGCCAGACGCTCTCGCCCAGACGTGCACAAAACAGCGTAGCTGCTTGATGTGAATGGACTCAGCTTTTCATACACCTCTGACGCTATAGTCCATTGAGCTCAGGCCTGCAGCACATGAAGACACGATCATCTCTGAGACGGGTCGCTTTGCCCGTCGATGCCCTGCGGGAAAATGCAACAAATTGCGAGCGACGTGCGAAAAGGAGCTCGAGGGTGGCAGTGGGCGGGTGGACTTGAGCCGCCGCGATGCGGAGCACGCGAAGGCAGTCATTTGACCTGGCGGGCGAGAAAGGGCCAAGGGGTATTCACGTCTACGACTAAACACACCCCCATAAGGCCAGACGCTCTCGCCCAGACGTGCACAAAACAGCGTAGCTGCTTGATGTGAATGGACTCAGCTTTTCATACACCTCTGACGCTATAGTCCATTGAGCTCAGGCCTGCAGCACATGAAGACACGATCATCTCTGAGACGGGTCGCTTTGCCCATACCCGTAACATGAACTGGTAGCCTTCAGCGCTTACGAGGGTGATCCAAGAGGAGCTGCGGCAGCCGCTTGCTTCTGCTCGCCGCCATCCTCTGCTTCTGCTGTGGGATCTTCCGCAGCTGCTGGAGGATGAGGGCGCCCTTCTCGTAGCGGGCTACCGAAGCGGACGATGCCCATCGGCCGCGCTTCTGAACCTCCTTGAGGGTCCTCCTGTTGCGCGCCTTGTCGTTCGAGGCACCTGAGCGCCGGAAGACGTGGGGGCACACGCCGAGGGACGAGTAGCCCAGGCGGTCGGCACTCTTCTTCACCTCGCGCTCGTACTCTGCCAGGGAGAAGTCGAAGAGCCTGAGGGAGTCCGGCGCCTTGGGCTGATGGAGGAGGCGCAGCACGTTCGTCAGCCAGGGGCGCGCCACGTCGCCGACCAGCAGGCTGTCGTCCTGGCCCCCGGTCTTCGTGACCTCGTGCCGCTCCGAGGGCGCGATCACGACGCCATAGTGCGCGCCGAGCTTCGCGGCTGGCGCGGGAGGCAGGATCTGGCCCTGCCTGAGCTCGACTATCTCCGAGGGCCTCAGGTAGGCGTCCGTCTGCAGCTCCACCGCGGCGCCCATCAGGGGCAGGTCGTGCTCCGCCAGGTCCATCGCGATGTCGTCCACGATGATGTCGGGCAGCGGCAGGCGCATCCGGCCTGGTGAGCGCTTCACCCAACCCTTCAGCGAGGCCAGCGCCTTTGGGAGGTCAACCTTCCCCGTCGTCTTGAGCCGCAGCAGCCTGTAGCCGTACAAGGTGTTGCGGCCCTCCCAAACGCCGAAGCCGTCGTCGTACAGGTCCACGAAGTACTGAGCTAGGCTGTCGTCCAGGCGGCTCAGCGGCTGCAGGTCGAGCTTCTTGGTCTTCGCGTAGACCTCGAACTCCTGCACCGCGGCCGCGTACCGCTCGAGCGTCGCGTTCGTGACCGTGGCCATGAGCAGCGCCTCGCGCCTTGGGACGCGAATCGCCCCCACTCGGCGCGGCGCCGACGGCTGGCGCGGGCGGCCCTTGCCCGGCGGCCGCTGCCTTCCAGTGCGGGTGGGCCCTCCAGCGTCGAGGGAGCTCGTCCTGACCGAACTGGATGACGGGGCCCCCGCCGAGGTACGCGTCGGCGGCCTGGCAGCAGACCTCGGGGCGGGCGCCGTCCTCACAGCGAAGCGCCTGTCCTCTAGCCTTTGGCTGACGGCCCGCGGCCTGGAGGAGGCCATTGCGGATCTCGCGAGGGTCGAAGCTCCGCGCGCTTGCAAGCGCCACTCTGGGAAGCGCAGCAGCCAGGAGGCTTGCCCAGCATGAGCCCAATGCGAACGGATAGGTGGCAGCCCGAGATGTAAGGTGCCCGTGCAACATGACGGCGTGCTTGTGCGGTATGCGAGGTCGATCACCCAAGGCCCTCAGGGCCTCCACATTCGTGAGTAGGCGAGTCGGTTTCCGATAAGCTGTGCCGTACATGCTCATATCGAAGTGAACCTCTGTGACCTTCGCGAGTCCACGAAGTCGAGCGATGGGGTCGAAGTTCCATAACCTCGAGGTCCTCGGATTCTCCACGCTCCAGTAACGCCCACGACGTGAAAGTATCTGACACAACGTGGCCGTAAAGAGCGCGAACTCAACTCCAAGGCGTTCCCTAGCTCGAGCTCGTACGTGGTTCTTAACCCCCCGGCGCGCGATACTCCAGACTTGACAAGGTGCCCCAAGATGCACATACATCAGACGGCCTCTGCGGGCCAAATCCAGGATAAACTGCTGCGTGCTCCGTCGAGACAAGTCAAACTCACAACCATCCTTGATGTCCACGGGGTCTGCAAAAGGGAGTCCAATCTTCCTGCAGGCTCGAGTCAACTGCCCGACGCCACCGAATAACTCCAGACAAAAAACTGATTGACCAGGCTCGTTCCGAATTGTAGAACAACAGAGAGACGATGAAGACGAAGAGGCGGGGGAAGGCGCCGATGACCGATGTGGCAAGGGAGAGGATGGTTCAGTACGCTCTCCCTCGCAAGTACCTGCCCAGGAACGGGCTGCGGGCTCATCGGATTGCCCGATGTCCGCGCTGCTGACGCCTCGCTGGCGGCCGAGCTCGGCGGGGGCGTCCCGCGCCGCCAGAGGCTGCTGCCGCCCCGGGGCAGGGCTCGGCGGCCCAGGCTTCCTGGCCTCCCCCTGGTGCGAGCTGGGCCCCTTGACGTCCACCTGGCTCGAGTCGAAGTCGCCGTGATGCGATTGTGCGTTTCGACCCGCAAAAAACGGGGTCTGGCCCAAAATGGTCGTATCGGTCACTGCAGGCCATTTTGGGGCCGACACTATTATTTCACGAGGATGATGGGCCGGCGCCACCGCAGCTGCCGCGGGCGTCTGCTCCCGCGTCGGGCCCTGCGAGGCGGGCCGCTTGGCATCCCACCGGCGCGAGTCGAAGTCGCTCGGGTTCCGATCCGTCTCGATGTAGCGGAGCCGCCACGTGATCTGGCCCCCCAGGCGGTAGGCGGCCGCGCGCCGGCACAGTGCCTGCAGGCCCGCGCTAGAGCGGCCCTTCTCGAAGGCCCCCACGGTGACCTGGCTGTCGCTGAGCGTGAGCAGCTTCGAGCCCAGCAACCTGACAGAGCGGCAGTGCCGTCGCAGCCCCATCAGGGCCACCCGCGCCTCCTTCAGGTTGATGTGCTCGTCCTGCCAGCGCCAGCGGTCGGCAGCCACCAGGTGGTAGCGCCGACGTTTAGTCCAGCCGTCAGCCACAGCGGGGATCCCCGAGTCGAGCGCCACCCTGACGCGAGCCCCCTTGGCGGGCGCAGCTGGCGCCGCCGGCCTGGGTCGCGCCTCGGCCCTGCTCCGGAGGTCCTGGCCGAAGGCGGTCTGCGGGCCTGCCGCCGTCCCAGGGGCGTCGCCCCGCACGTAGTTGAGGCCCTCGCTCACCTGGCCCTCCAGCAGCGGGACGTCCCGGTACCGCCAGCGTTCGCGCCACCTCCAGGCCTCGCGGATCTCCTCGGGCTCACCCTTGGTTACGTGCAGCGCGTAGCCGCGGCTCGAGGAGTCCCCGCAGTAGACCTGGTCGGAGTAGTTGGCGCCAAGGTCGACCTCCATCAGGAACAAGAGATTCATGGCGCATCGAATCTCCGACTTCACGGACGGCCACGCCCGCTTCGGCGCCTCCAAGGACTCCTCAATGAAGCGGTAACACGCGTTCAAGGCGGACATCGCCTCGGGGCAGAGCTGGTTCAAGTTGACCACGTGGCCGAGCCAGCACTGCAGAGCATGTCCGTGTAGCTTACGACGTCGTAGAAGGGCATGGCCGGCCAAGTATGTCCGCCAGACACGCCGGGCGACGTGACGTAGTCGCCGTTCTCGCCAATGGTAAACCAAGCCAAGCGTCTGCATCTCAAAACCGCCCCCTGGCTCGACGTCAAAGGGTATGTTGTCTTCCTTGAAGCTCTTCTCAATCTCTGTCATCTGTTTCACTGCGTCGGCCCCGCAGCCTCCGATCACCTGTACGTTGTCCACGTACACGCCTGTCACGCACTTGCCAGGCTTCAAAACTGGTGCGGGCTGCATCTCGCGCATGATCTGGTCGGCGCCGTCCTCGAGCGTCTTCTCCACCCGGTAGGTGACGGCCTCGTTGGCGAAGTACAACGCCCAAGACCAGCCCATGCACACGGCGGCCATGCAGGGGTAGAGCAACTCCCCGTCCCCGACCTGGGTCTCGGCCCCCTCGGCGTCGTCCCAGATCGTGGCCGGTCGGCAGCCCATGCTCGCCAGCTCGTTCGTGTCGAAGCGGCCCTCGAAGCCAAACCAGGAAGCGAGCTCGGGGATCGTGAAATTGTAAAAGCAGTCCCCGACGTCGCCCTCCAGCCCGGCAGGACTGGCGGCTGTCCCGGAGCCCACTCCACCGAAGCCCGAAGCCTTCAGGCGAGGGTCGGAGAAGTCCAGGTCGGCCATGCACCTCGAAGAGCCAAGTCGCGTGGTGGGCGGTAGCCGATGCGCTCTGTTCGCCGCTCGGGCGTCGATGATCAGTCTCTGAAGCCCATCCTTTTTCTTGACCGCGAAGATGCCCGCGCGCCCCTTCAGCCGCCGGCGCCAGGTCAGCAGGCCCTGCTGGCTCAAGCGCTGATACAACTGCTTCCGGAGGTCTCGCGAGCGCCGAAGACGGGGGTCCCAGTAAGGCGAGAAACCCACTCCTTCAGCTCGGTCCTTCTCAAGCCCCGCTTCGCCCCTCTCGATCAGATCGGACGCGTGCCTGATGTAGCCAAGCGCTGCGGGAGGGAGCTCGCGCCGAATAGGTCGAACGTGGACCCTCCTGTGCAGGATCTTGACCTTGTCGAAGTCGAAGCTGGCCAAGTTCTTGGGCTCCATGCCGTAGTGGTCTCGTGAGTCGAGGATCTCCGACAAGGATGATTCCTCTGTAAGGTCAGTCGGGCGAGCCCCATATGCCTCAACCCGCCGTGCAACGTTCTGGAGCATCCATCGCTGCACAGCGGTGGGCCGGAGGTGGCCCTCAGGTGGTAGGTCATGCCCCTGAGCACGACGTGAATTCAGGTTGGCGGCAGCAAGCTGGTTCAGGGCCCGAACCGAGTCAAAAACTTGCTGAAGCCGCGCGGCATCGCATGCATCGCCGAGGCCACCAGGATCGCAGGGCAGCGGGAAAGGATCTCCATGCCGACGATCGCGTGACCGGATGCCTCCTGAGCCGGAGGCGGCAAGCCCACGTACGTGACGGCTGCGGGGGGGCTCTCTCGGCGCCCGGGCTGCCAGCGCCGGCGCCCCCGCAGCCCGGAGGGAGGTCATCCCTCCTCGCCGGCGCCGCCACCAGCGCCGGCTGCTCCTCCCTTCGGCTTCTTCGGGCGCCTCTTCGGGTTGGCGGGGTCGGAGCTGTCGCCGCCCTTGCCGTCGCCCTTGCGCACCTGCTTCTGCTCCTCGCGGTAGAGCCGCTCCTGCTTCCAGATCGTCGCACGCTCCTTGAGTCTGTCCGTGACCCACGTTTTGAACCTCGACGTTGAAGCACGCCCCGCGGCGTTCACGGGCGCGGAGATCACGATGTCCAATCCACTGTAGTCGGGAGGGCGCGGGTTGCGCTCTACGGCGATCTCCGTCTGGATCATCCAGCGGACCAGCAGCTCGGCGGATGCTAGCATAGAGAGATCCACCTGGTCCCACGAGTGCATGAGCCGAATCACTTCACACAAGTTCCGATGTACGTGGTTGACCGCTGACCCCTCGCCAACTCCGCTGAGTCGCTCCCACTCGGCCTGGTACGATGTCATGTTACCAGGGCCCGCCGCGACACTGTCCAGGAACTCCTTGACGCTCTTGACGCCTGCCAGCGGGAAGTTCGGCTGGTCCGTGTCCCGCATCAGCGCCACCGCCTCCGACAATCGCAGGCTCCTCATGCCGGCCTCGTCGTGGTGGTCGCCCAGAGTGCGCACGTCGCCGAAGTCCGCCTTCGCCTCCCTCTTGAAGTCGTTCAGGCTGCTCGCCGCGATCTTCTGCACGAAGACCTCCTCGCCGTCAAGGACGGCCACGCCCTTCTGGTCGAAGCCCATCCCGCGGTTGTCATCATCCATGATGGCGCTGTCCACGATCTCGCCGAAGCGCTCGGACCGCGGCTCGGCGACCACCCAGATCATCCGCTCGATGGCGTCCACCTGGCCCACGCCGAGCAGCTGCCCCTGCAGCTTCGCGCGTCGGCGGAAGGCAGAGAGCGCGGCCCCGGCGATCATCCGCTCGATGGCGTCCACCTGGCCCACGCCGAGCAGCTGCCCCTGCAGCTTCGCGCGTCGGCGGAAGGCAGAGAGCGCGGCCCCGGCGATCGGGTCGTGAGCGTAAACCTGATTCGCCAAGTGCGCCGGGAAGGGCGCCCTCCGCTCGAGCACCTCGTGCCGCACGTCAAGCAGCTTGACGCGGACCAGATCGTGATCCGGGGTGAGGCAGATCCAAATGTCCTCGCTCACCCGGAACAGCAGCACGCGGTGGTGCCAGTAGAACCCGTGCGGGTCGTTCTCGTACCGCATCAAGATCTGCGGGTCCGCCACATCCAGCGTGAGGACGTCAGCCATGACGACGGCTCGGCGTCAGCGGGCCAGCCGTGCCAGCCGCCGCCGCCAAAGGCGCCGCGGCGCGATCAGGGGCCTCGCGTGGGGAGCCCCCGGGCGGCGCCCTCTCGCGCGAGCCGCAGCGGCAGCGCCGGCAAATCCCGGCCAGGAAGCCCAGCGCGCCCGCGCTGGAGGCAGTGAGGCTGAGCAGCAGCAGCCCAGCCACCAGCAGGCACCGCAGCGCCCAGACCTCCGCCTGGAGGTCGATGATCCGCCGCAGCTCCGCGTCGCAGGAGCAGTGGCAGACCTCCTCGACGCCGCAGCCAGGCGGCGGAGGCGGCGGCCAGGCGGGCGCCGCGGGGGCTGACGAGCCCCAGGTCCAGCAAGCGCCCAGGGTCGCGCTCCAGGTGGCCACCAGCGTAGCCCACAGCGAGGGCGGCCCGCCTTCCATCCGGGGCCGGCCGCGCTGGGGCCTCTTGGACTTGAGCCGCCGCGATGCGGAGCACGCGAAGGCAGTCATTTGACCTGGCGGGCGAGAAAGGGCCAAGGGGTATTCACGTCTACGACTAAACATCCTGGAGCTCACGACCCTGCGCGCCCCCTGGCCACGGCAACCCCCTCCCTTTGGAACCCTGTTCATGGGACCCCCACCCGACAATGCCTGGCCCGGAAGCCACCCCAAACCCCGACCTGGCCACGGCAACGCCATCCCTCTGGACTCCTGCTTTGGGGGGCCTTCCACCTGGCAGTTTCGAGACTGGGCCCTGGCCCTGCGGCCCACCTGGTCCACTCCCTGCACCCCCCGCGCAACGCGTTTACTAGGCGCTCCCATCTGACAAATCCTGAGCTGGAGCCAACCCCGCGGCCCACCTAGTCCGACCCCCGCACCCTTCTGGCAACCATGTTTCTAAGCCCTCAAGCTCCCAGGCTCGACGCGTTCTGACCCGGCACGGGCCTTGCGGCCCACCTGGTCCGACTCATCACACCACCCACCGCGCCTGACATCCCCACCCTTCCAGGCTCCTCCTGGGACCGTTTGTTGCGGTGGGACCCCCAACGCCGACCCGCGCCCTTCACTGCACCTCCCACCGCGTCTGACATGCCACCCCTCCAGACTCCCCCCGGGGCCTCTAATTCTCGAACCCCCACCATTCAATTCCTCGCCAGGAAACTCCTCCTGGGGCCTCTAGTTTTGCGACCGCTCCACCCTGCAATTCTTCACGCTTCGCGCATCCCCACCAGCCCATTCAGAAGCCCTGCCCACGAGAGCTGACGGGGACCAAAGCGAGCAACCAGGATGAACCGAGAGATCTCTGGGAGCAAGGGGTAGCCCTGGAAGGCCTCTTCGGGCCATCCCTGGGGGCCGCGCGGGGGCGAGGGGAAGAGGAGCAGGAAGAGGAGGAGGAAGAGGAGGAGGAGGGGGAGGAGGAGGAGGAGGAGGTGGAGGTGGAGGAGGGGAGGAGGAGGAGGAGGAGGAGGAGGAGGCCTCTTGGGCGCCTCTTGGGGTACTCTTGGGGCCTCCTGGGAGCTTCCTAGGGGCCTCTTGGAAGGTTTTGGGGGGCCGTTGGGGGTTTCTTGGGGGCCTCCTTGGCCGTCTTAGGGCGTTCCTGGTTTGTCTCACGCCGTCGGAAGCCGTCTGGGTCGTCTTGGGGCCCTCTTGGGGCAAATCACTAGTTCTTAGAGGCCATCTTGGGCGTCATGGAGGCCTCTTCGGCCGTTTGGGGGCCATCTTGGTGCCGTTTTGGGAGCCTCTTGGGCCGTCAGGAGGCCATCTTGGAAGCGTCTTGGGCGATCTTGGGGGCCTCTTGCGCCGTCTTGCGCCGTCGGAATGCCGAGAAGAATGATTTGCGCCTCTTCATGCCCTCCTGGAAGACCTCCTGGACGCCTTTTGGGCCGTTTTGGGGGCCCATTGGAGGCCTATTGGGCCGTCCTGCGCCATCTCGAGGCCATCTTAGGCTGTCTTGAGTGCATCTCGGGCCGCCTTGGAGGTATATTGGGGCCATCTTAAATGTCTTGGAAGCCATTTTGGCCGTCTTGGAGGCCTCTTGGGCCCTCTTGGGGCCGTCTGGGGGGCCTCTTAGGCCGTCATGGAGCCATCTTGGAAGCCTCGTGGGCGACATTGGGGACCTCTTGGGGCGTCTTGAGCCGTCGGAATGCCGAAAAGAAGCAAATGCCAAAATCCCCGAAAAACCTGAAGGACAAATATATGATTCTGGCCTCTTGGCCCGTTTTTGGAAGCCTCTTGGGGGCTTCTTGTGCCGTCTTAAGCCATCTGGAGGCCATCTCAGGCCGTCTTGGGTGCATCTTGGATCGTCTTGGATGCATCTTGGGGCCATCTTAGCAGTCTTGGAGGCCATATTGGGCGTCTTGGAAGCCTCTGGGGCCCTCTTGGGGCCGTCCTGGGGCCCTCTTGGGGCTCTCTTGGGGCCCGCTTGGGAGCCGTGGAAGACCTCTTGGGGCCATCTTGAAGGCCATCGATCCAACGAGGAGCGGGGATAACGTTCAGCCCCCCCCAAAAGACGCCAACATGTGGCCAAAACATCTGTAAAACCAATGATTTGGGCGCCCAGAGGGCCGGTGGGATAACGTTCAGCCCCCCCCCAAAGAGGCCAGCATGGGGCCGAAACCTGAGTAAAACCAATGATTTGGGCGCCCAGAGGGCTGGCGGGATAACGTTCAGCCCCCCCAACGAGGCCAACATGGAGCCAAAACCTAAATAAAACCAATGAGTTTGGTGCCCAGAGGGCTGGTGTGACATATTTCGGCCCCCCCAAAAGAAGCCAAAATGGAACCAAACTTAAGTAAAACAAGTGATGTTGGCTTCCTCGCCGAGGCCGTTTTGGACGCCCTGACACCTCGCGGGCTCCGCAGAAAAAGCACAGGGGAGGGGTAAGGGGAGGTGTACACCCCCCCGTAGGGGAAGAGGGTTCTTTTGGAAGAGGGAAGAGGAATCTCGTTAGACCACCCTTCGCCCAAAGGGCGGGTGGGATTTCTAGCCTGGAACCGACCCGCCCCCCCGCCACACCCCCCTCCACGTCTGACAGTCCCACCCCTCTAGACTCCTGGGAGCCTCCAGCGTGCAATTCATCGCTCGGAACCGACTCGCGCCCCCCACCGTGCCCCCCCCCCAACAGCGCCTTGCACCCCCACCACTCCTGCAACTTCTCATTACCGAACCCCCCACCTTGCAATCCTTCGCCCTGAGCCGACCCGCGCCCCCACCGCACCCCCCACCGCGTCTGACGACCCCACCCCTCCAGACCCCCCCTGCGACCTGCGTCTAGTTTTAAAACCCCCCCCACCCAGCAAGTCCTCGCCCGGAGCCCACCCGCGCCCCCTGCGCCCCCCCATCCACCGCGTCTGGCATCCCCAACCCTCCAGAGTCATCCTAGGACCTCTAGTTCTGGGGGTAAGGAAGGGGCGAGGAAAGAAAAAAAAAATGGGGCCGCCCACCCGGCCCGGGATCCACAACCCTGACCGCCCCGGGACCGCCCCCCTGGCCGCGGCAACCCCTTCCTTCTGGACTCTTGTTTGGGGATCCCCCACCCGACTAGTCCTATCCCAGACCCCACCACGCCCGCCACCCTGGCAACGGCAACCCTCTCCCTCTGGGATCCTGGGATCCCCCACCCGCCAAGTCCCCGCCCAGAACCCACCCTGACCGCCCACCTGACCACGGCATCCCCGCCCACCTGGAATCCTGCTCCTGGGACGCTTCCATTGACAATTCCTAGCGCAAAGCTCACCCTGACCCCCCACCTGGCCGCGGCATCACCTGCGCTCTGGAATCCTGCTTCCGAAACCCTCCACCCGACAAGTCCTGGAGCGGAAGCCATCCTAACCCCCACCTGGCCATGGCAACCCCATCTCTCTGGACTTCTGTGCTTTGAACCTCCCGCCTGGCAGCCCCGAGCCTGGGCCCTGACCCTTGCGGCCCACCTAGTCCGATCCCCGCGCCCGCCTGGCAGCGCCGCTCGCTGCCTCCGCT